CCATTGACTGAAACAGGAAACCCAGGAGGAGAAAAAGTTAGGGCCAAAGAGTACAGTGATGCTTTTACACCACAAGGAACAAAATACCCAACTAAAAGCAGCCTTAAAACCCTCCTTTTTCTCTCAGAAGTAGTCTGGAGCAGGTAGCTCCAGATGTGGTTCAACTCACAGATGTCAGGGCTCGGTCCACTTCCCTGAGAGTCTCTTGGCTTCCTGTCATGCTGCTAGATGACCACCTCCACTCCAAATATCACGGTACTATTGTAGTAACAGAGAAAGGAAAGAATCTCTCCTGATGGCTCCCAGCCTCAAGCGGCCCACACCAGAGTTCTCCAAAGTCCCACTGGTCAGGGTTGCGTCACATTTCCACATGCTAGCTTCAGAGCCTAGGAGAGCTGGTATTGGCATTTTCAGGCTTTTTCACGGGAAGCCAGCTCAGCTAGAAGGGAGAAAGTCATTAGGTAGGTAACCAACGATGTCTGTCACAATGATGAATTCCATTTTCTCTCCCTACACAGTTGATAAAGGCTCACTTAGCAGCCTTACAGAGCTTGAATTAGATAGGCTAAGTCCTAACTGTAATAAATTAGTATTTTCTAGAAGCCAGTTAGTTTCTCAGTGGGCTTTTCCCTTCTGCTCTGTGACTGAGAGCTGATCCCACTGCTTCATAACAAATGAATGATTTGATTATTTTCCTCTTCCACAACTTGAATGAAAGTTCTGTGGCTGTCATGAAGACATGTATCCATCCTGTTACGCATCTGCAGGATTGCCTTTCCAGTATCATTACATATTTGATATCTCTGTATGTGCTTTTAGATATGTACCTACCACCTTAGAGGAGCAAGAAAATTCTGTAGACATTATGAGCCATGTTTGTTTTACAGTCTGGGGGCTCAGAAAAGTCCCTGACATTTAGTCTGAGTTGAACCGGGACAACCAATTCTAGCTCCCCTGGGTAGCGGAGGCAGGCTGAGCTGAGCAGACCCTGTGACACAAGTAAAGCTAAGAAAGGAAGAAACTGTCTTGGCTCAGAAGGGGCTGAGCTTGGGCAACTGGGATTGTAGGGTAATACGTATACACACACTTGTACATTATATCCAGAATATCTGCAATGATTGACTATCTAAGCTGGGTAAAGCTGGAATCCTTTATTCTGTGGATCCTTTATTCTGTAATTGTAATTGTCTCATCTGTAATTGCACAAATGTGATTTTTCATCCCATAAAAATCACATGCCATAAATTTAAGCTGAGGTGTCCCTGTGGGTACCTTTGTGAATGAAAAGGAGGGGAGGGGTAGGGAGACATGAAGAAGGAAGCTCTAAATCTCATCTTCTGTCTATAGCAGTTCATTTAGTCCTCTGACATTGGTTGAAAGCCTACCGCGCCCTCAGTGCTGGGGATGGAAGAACAGATAAAGGTACTCACAGTGCTGAGAGCGAGGGGGAGAGAGAGAGAGAGACACTACATCCCTGCCCTGCCCCCCCAGCACTGTAGAAAAGCAGATATGAGAGATCAGCACAATCCACCAGGCAAGCTAGTTGGGCTGGTTTTCCTTACAATTTTAAAGTGTCTCGTTTCCAAGTTTGAGTTGGTATAATAAAAATTACATTATGTTACAGTAATTGTGTTTGAACTACATTACAGTGAGTGCCAGGAGAAGGCCTTACCTACCTTCCTGTATGATATTTCAGAAATAGGTTTCAAAGCCACTTGTTACCTTGGGGAAATTTGTGTTTCCAAAATACCTGCAATGATTGACTCAAGTCAGTAAATCTGTAATTTACTAGAAGCTGAATTTCCAAAAGTCCTATTTTAAATGTTAGAAGTGTTGTTGAAAAAACTGGTACCTCTAACCAGAGAAGAGTGTAATGATGCCTTAGATACTTGCCAGAAAGAAAGCAAAAACAGACTTCAAGCTTAAACTCTCTTCTGATTCCCCCCCCCCGCCACTGACCAAATTTGGCCCCACTCTTGGCTTTAATATGAACGCAAGATCATGCGAGCCCAATTTGTGTCGTCAAGGGCTGTCTGCATCTCTCCATTTGTTTCTGAGGATGCCACCGATGGCCTCAGGGGGCCTGGTTTGGACTGCCACCTTTTGCTCCAAATCCCAGTCCTGGCTTAATTCCCAGTCTTCTGAGGGCCAGCTCCCCACCATGCTTCTCCTCCCTGTGGGTGCAGCCTGACATGCTGCCAGCTCTCAGGACCCTGTCCTGGCAGGCCTGCTCTCCTGGCTTGGCCCTAACAGAGGGAAATCACTACGAGAACTAGAAGCAATGGAGAGGTTGCTGTCACTCCAATTCTGAAGTTCCATGGCCATCCCTCCCACAGGGGAGTGTACTGAGTGTATTACCTGTTGGTTCAGAGCCATTCAGTTTCTCCCTGCAGAATCTCTTTTCCCACTTCTCCGTCTTCCCTACATCCAGAAGCTTCCGGAACATGACCTGCCCGTGGTACTTTCTTAATCAAAAAGTCTCAGAAAAAGCATTTCCCTAACCCGAAAGTGCTCCCCTTTCCTAACCCTGGTCATTCACACTGAGCCGCATCCGCCTGCGTAAAAAGCGGGCAGAAGTTTGAAGTTGTAAGTTTTAAGGGGGCTCACCATTCAAGGTGTCCTGGATCAGGCATACAAGGCTTCCGAGTCCCTGTGCTTTCTCCCCTGTTGGGGGTGGCCAGGCAGGGGTCAGCCTAGGTTTTGTGCTTCCCTGTACCGTGAGCAGTCCCTGGGTATGGCTTCTCTATCAGTAGCCTCTTTCATGTGCTGTGGGGGCTTATATTTACCTGAGCCACAAGAATAGTTTGAGTAAAACATGTCAGAAGAATTGGGTGAACCAACGACGTAGGGCCTGTAAAATGGCTATTTCTGGTGTTTCCTGGAGGGGTGCGGAAGTGTCTGTGGGGTCGCATGCCCAGGACTGTGCCAGGTAATGGGGTGAGCACAGCGAGACCTCCCGGGGCATTAGTTTCCCAGCAAGTTTGGAAATGTTTAGATGTTAAAACCAGTCAGCATAGGAGGAGAATAAAAAATTACAATAATTTTCAGGTAAAACGTTATAATAGGAGAAACTTCACTGCAGGGTGCTCTCCCACACGTCTCCAAGGTTCAGGTGACTTTCTTCCAGTTAAAGCAACTGTTCGAGAAACACTGTACTTAAGAAGGTACAATCATACAAAAATGTATGACATTTTAAAAGGGAGTTCTGTTATGGCACTTGTGAACTCCTGATTTTGCGGATATTTCTTATTTTATGTAATATATGTGTCATGAAACTTGTGTTTCGAGTTGAGATATTTGTAAATTGGATACTTTTAAGTGCAATAGATACTTTTTAAGGAAACCAAAATTAGTTTATAAATAATCACCCCGATTGTTAGTTTTATAAGTTTCAGTTTAATAAAATTATTTTTCCTAAAGTGGGTGTTTTCACTTAACTATAATATAAACATCCATTTATCTTGAAAATAGCTATTAGGTAGGCTTTCAAAAAATGTCACTTATGTCAATACCATTAAATTTATCTAACTCAGACCAATGAAAATTTAAGACTATTTTTGTTAGTGACGTTTTTTGTTAGTCTAAGAAAGTCTTTTGTAGATATCTGGCCATATTAAATATTTAAATTATTTCTAATACTTGTATTGTCTTAATGAAGCACGTAGAACAAAACAGTTCAGTCACAAAGTTCCTCAGGGCAGATGATTAAATAACCATGAGAGTAGCCAAGCTAACTTCAAAGTTGATTTGGAATGTTGTACTACTTTTTGCTCTAAGCAATTATATTAGTCAAATATAAATGTTCAGAGTACATTTTCATTAACATGCTTTATATGTCCAGCTACTTCCAAATGCTCTCTTGGTCCTCATACAGTGTCATTATTCAATAAATGTTTAATAGAAAGGCTCATTAAAATTTTATTTATTATACTTAATGTAAAAGAGTAGAAGTGAAGATAAATTAGGTTGAAGTGGAACGGATAAAATGTAATTGAAATAATTTGGAGTACAATTTAAATAAACTTTGTTAATTTGGAAGTCTTAAAAGTGTGTGACCACAGCTTAAGATGCGTTCAAATATATCATTATGAAGAAAATAAGAATATTGTATTACTGGTTTGTAGGTTCTTTAAGAAAGGCTATTAGCTTTAGTCTAAAAATAGAAAAGATAAAATTAACTTAGCTTTCTTTTTTATTAACTTAGTAAATGTCTGGGTTAAGCAACTACTTATACTCTGTTATACATCTTATGTAAATGTATGATCACTGGCTAGAATAATGTATAGATATCTTTATAGAACACTTACATTTTTTTCACTGACTTTTTTTAGCTAGATTATAATCTCTATTGCATGGGGAAAATATAACAAAATGTCATTGACTGAACTGCTGTAGTGTTGAAATAAACTTTAAATTTTTAAATAAACCCTATTAATCTAAAAACTCAGTCACTGAGTTAAGGTAATATGGAGAAAGTATATGTTTTTTCAGAAATATGATTAAATTAAATCTTGCAAACTAGTAAATTGACTTTGATTTGGCTTAAATATTATTCATACAAAGATAGAGGGTTGGGTAAAGCCAGAGTTGTGACTGTTAACTTCTCTGTAATTCAGGGCACAGCAGGGACAGGTTCTGACTTTCTTTTTTTTAAGATTTTATTTATTTAGAGAAAGAGAGAGTGAGCAGGGGAGGGGCGGAAGGAGAGGAAGAGAGAGAATCCTCAAGCAGACTCCCGGCTGACCGCGGAGCCCGAGATGTGGGGCTCAATCTCACGACCCTGAGATCATGACCTGAGCTGCAGTCAAGAGTCGGCCACTTAACCAACCTGAGCCACCCAGGTGCCCCAGGGACAGACTCTGACTTTTTTTAAAAAAAGAAAAACTGTTGGCTTGTATTGGTTTTGCTGGTAGAGTGATATTTGTTAACTACAAGAATTGTGATTAAGTTGTTGAAATGAGATTTTACTGAATTTTTATATGTGTTTATTTCATTATTAGGCTATCAGCTGCAAAGGTCAACACAGTATATCGTACACTCTGTCAAGGAATCAGACTGTGGTGGTGGAGTACACACATGATAAAGATACGGACATGTTTCAGGTAACATCTTGATTTTTCTTTTGGATGCAGTGTCATTAACATGACATCAGTTTCAGGTGTCCAATGTAATGATTCCATACTTGCGCCTAGTACAAAGTAATCACCACAGAAGGCCTATTAACAGTTGCTACCACGCGGAGTTACAAAGCTTTTTCCTTGGGATGAGAACTTTTAAGATCCACACTCCTAGCTACTTTCATGGACACAGTGCAATAGTATTTACTATAGGCACCATGCTCTATGTGACATCCCCAGGACACACCTTTCTTTTCTTCATGGAAATTTTAGCATGCTCTCCTTCAGTTCTGCATTTCGATATGTAATCAGAACTAGCCCAGTAGTGTTTGGTGATGTACTCAGAGAAAGAGGTGAGGATAATATAAAAATGAATTCCTGTTTGGGTACTGAAAGACTAAAGGGGAAACCTTCATTCTAAACTGCAGACAGAAATTATAAAAGCTACATTCTTAGGTCTCAGTGCAATAAAAATACACGTTAATAACGATAAAAATTTTAAAAACCAACCACTTTGAAAAGCCATGTTTGAACACTTGAATCAGAAAGGACATCGATACTGCAGTTATTAGGCCTTTTAAAAAATTACTATGGGAACATTATGTAGCGAAACTCATGAGATGTGACCGACCTCATACTCAGAAGAAAATGTAAAAAAAAAAAAAAAAAAAATCTGAAGTGCTTTCATTATACAAGGAAGGAGGGAACAAGGAACTAAACATTGGTCTCCAAGAGTTCTCTTTAAAAAATGACAGTAAGAAAATACAGAAGAGGTTCGTGACTAGCTTTAGCGGTATATAATAGAAAGTCCAGAAATACATCAAAAGAAAGCAGAAGGAAGGAAATAATAATGGTAAAAAAATTCATGAATTTAAGAAGAAGAGAATTAATAATATATCTAAGATTTGGTACTTTAAAACAATAGAAAGTTAAAATTAAGGCTAATGAGGAAAAAAGCAAACTCAAATTGGGAACCATGAGACTTTGCATTTCTATATGGAACATTAAATTATTAAATAAATGATAGTGAAACAGGTGTCAAACAGTATCCTAGATATTATCAGAAAGGGGAAATAAGGAGCTCTGAAAAATAAGAAAATATGCTCAACCTGACTTAAAAAAAGAGAAATGTGAATTCAAATCACACAGAGATCTTATTTTTCACTTACTAGATTGACAAAAATCCGAACAGTTTTGTCAGAGATGTGGGGAAACCTTCTCCTAGTCCTATAAATCAGTATGACCTCTGTGGGGTGGTGATTTGGAAGTGCTTGTGAAAAATGAAAAATGCTTACACTTTGACTCAGCTCTTCTCTTTCTAAAGCTCTTCTGTTTCTAGAGATTTACCCCAGAGATACCCCTACATTCATGCAGAATGACATTTTTACGAAGTCATTGCTCAAAGCATGGTTTAATAGCAAAAGATTGCTAAGTGAATTTAAATTTTAAAAAAATAATAATAATAGCAAAAGATTGCGAACAATGTAAATGTCATTCAGTAGGGGACCCTTTCAGTAAATTCAGGTACAGCCATATAGTTGAGGGAGGCCTCCAAGGCTATGAAACAGAACAAGAAAAAGCTCTATGTATGGACATGGGAAGAGCTCCAAACATATTTAATGAATTAAATATTAATATTATTATATTGAGCCATTGATAATATATTCAATTAAGATTACTTAATCTTCAATGTTAATAAATTTAAGTTATTAAATATATTAAATATTAAGTAGTATATTAATTATTAAATATTAGCATAGTTAAATGATTTAAATAATGCTTACATGCACTAAAAAGTTCCAAGAGGATAAATAAGATTATTATTAAAGCAGTTGCCTTTGTGGGGAAGAGGATTGGGCAGGTGGTACACAGAGAGGTATTGCACACTATGATTTTTTTCTTAAGATTTTATTTATTTATTTGCGAGAGGAAGAGAGCACAGAGGGAGAGTGAGAGGGAGAAACAGACTCTCTGGGCTCTCTGCTCAACAGGGGACCCCATCCCAGGACCCCGATATCAGGACCTGAGCCGAAGGCAGACAGTTAACCAACTGAGCCACCCAGGCGCCCCTCACACTATGATTTTTGAAACATGTGAATGTGTTAGCTGTTTTTTAAAAAAACTAAACAGGGGCTGAGCAGGGAGCCCGCTTCTCCCTCTCCCTCTGTCCCTCTCCTGTGTGTGCACTGTCTGTCAAATAAATAAATAAAATCTTTTTAAAAAATTAAAAAAAATAAACTTAAACAGTCCTAGAGTCATAGTCATAGATGTAGACACAATTATTAAAGTGCCTCAAAAGTAAGATTTATCATATTTAGACAAAATATTAACAATGGTTTTACTCCTCATACAATTCCATTTTATAATATTCTAAATATTTTTTCTTCTCATTCTACCAGAGAAAATCCTTTCCTAAATACGTATTGCATACTCTTCCCTGCTAATTTTATGGGACTTCATAATAATTTTTTAATAACTTTCCAAAATTATAAATCTTCTACTGACAAGATTTTTTTTTTACATAGGAAATTTTTTAACACACGTTTTACCCTAGAGAATAGCAGATTCTCAACACCAAAAAAAGCACATCAAGAAAATTTTTACAGTTGTGGTGGTACATTTTTTACCACTTTAAAATTAACCCGACACGGCAGAGGCACCTGTAATTTCATCACTGTTCTGTAGGGACATGTTGTGACAGAGATCGCGTACTCTTCACTGTCGTGCACATTCCACTCCCATGGCTCACTTTCTCCCTTCTCATCTCTGCAAGTGCAGAGTGAGTGAAAGATTCATGAGACTCTTAACATGAGATCCATCCTCTCGACAAACACACAATGCAGTATTTTTACCATAGGCACAGCATTAGACAGCACATCTCTGGAACTTCTTCATCTTGTGGCACTGAAACTTTGGAGCTGTTGAACAATGATTCCCACTTCCCTCCACCACCAGCCTCTGGCAACCACCATGCTACAGTCCCTATTTGACTGTTTTAGGTACCTCACGTAATTGGAATCCTGCAGTGTTTGTAACGTCCCCTAGATTCATCCATGTTGTTGCATGTGGCAGGATTTCCTTGTTTTATTAGCACCGCGCTCTAACCAACTGAGCTAACCGGCCACTTGGTGAGGATTTCCTTGTTTTAAAGGCTGAATAATATCCTACTGGATGTTTTTACCACATTTTTTTTTTAATCCATTCACCCACTGGTGGACGTTCAGGTTGTTTCTATATCTTGGCTATTGTAAATAACGCTACCGTGAACGTGGGGAGCAGATCTCTCTTTGAGATCCTGATTTTGGGGTTTTTTGGGGTTTTTTTTTTTTTTGGATAAATATCCAGAAACGGGATTGCTGAATCACATGGTAGTTTGATTTTTAATATTTTAGGGAACCTCCATACTGTTATAAACTTCTAAATGCTTTTTTTCATACTTCCCATTTCATCATATAGAATATTTGAAAGCCTCAATATTTAATAAAAGTAATTTTTTGCTACTTCATCAAAAGCATACTTAAGTGAAACTGGCATTATTTTTAACTGCAAGTGCATGGCCACGAAGAATACAGTGGCCATTAATACAGTTTGGTGCCACTGGTTTAATTTACACGAAAGCACATGATTGCCTTAGCACCATTAGAAGAAACATTAGCACAGTGGAAAAGGCAAATGGTGTATTTGTATTATTGTGAAGGCAATTTTGGCTTCATGGACCTGGTCCTTAGAAAAGGTCTCGGGGACCCTCAGAGGTTCATAGACCACACTAAGAAATACCGAATTATGCTATACTAACCTCTTGCATTTCATAGCTGAGAAATCTGGGTCTTCGAAAGGAACAGTGACTAGCTACTAAGGGCAGAGAAAGCGTTAGTGGTAGAAGTCAGTTTTATGTCTCCTGAGTTCTACACTCCTACGTAGTACCACCTCAACCTCTTTATATGAAGCATGGTAATTCAACAAGCATTTATAGATTTACTAAGAAAACAGAACACATTTGTCATTTTTACTAAAATAATCTGATTCCACTTGCAAAATAACTAGACATATTGGAGGATTAATATCAGATCACTCTAAGCAGAGTAGAATTAAGCAAACTCTTAGAAGGCCCTGAAAAATCAAGCTTGTTTTAATTTTTTTTTCTTCCTCTTACACATTTTTATGTCCCCAGCCCACCACTGATTGATAAAGGTTACCGAGCAAAAAGCACTGTACCATTCCTGTTTCTCAAGCATGGACCTTGGTGTTGAGGGCTATTCACTGTAGCCATTATTCTTTAAAATGATTTCTCGTTAATTGGGCATTTAAAAGCAGAACATCAAACCAAGCCAAAGAAGGGCCTTGTGCTGCCTTTCCCTGGGAAACAGGTAGTAGCTCAGAATTCAGAAATATTATTGCCTAGGGAAAAAAGTATCAATTTGATCTGAATTTAAGAGATGGGTTAAGAGTGAGAAAGTCTGAGTTAGTATAGCAACAATTTCATAGTAGTTATTTTCTAGAATAGGTGTAAATAAAGGACAGAAAAAAAAAAGAGTGTAGCTTTTGAGAAAGTAAAATATAAAGAATCGTTTGTCACAGGAAGTGACAAAATGTTTTACAAGACCCCTAAAGGGACGTGTGATGCCAAATGCATCCTGATCCTTGGGGTAAGGAAACCAGAGGCCTCAAACATTGCTCGGTTTCATGGTCTTCGATCCTGGGTGCTGCTGGACCTTACGGTTTGGGTTTTTGTTTGGTTGGTTTTTAATTTAGTTGGTTTATACCACTTTTAGATGGTAACATTTTATTAGCACCCACCTAGGTGAGAAAAAATGTTAAAGAATATCTGCTTTTTAAACAGTTATTTCTTAAAACATGATGCCTGTCTCTCTCCCAGGGTTCAAGGTCACTGTCCTAATCCTCCATTCATCAATTTCATTTCTTGAGCACCTGCTATGTATCAGATACTCATCTAGTTACTGGAGGTAGGCAGCCCCTCTCCTGGAGCCTGCATTCTGGAGGAGGGAAACAGACCACAAATAAGGCAGAAGTAACAGCAAGTGCCAAGGCCCCCAGGCAGGAGCAGGGTGAGGGAGGAGGTCAGTGAAATGAGATGAGCTTGGAGAGGTGGGGCCCGTAGGCCAAGTAAAAAAATCGGGGTGTTAAGCACGGGAGAGATATAATCTGATTTACATTCCTTACAGATATCTTCGGAGGGAGTGTTGACAGGCAGGGTTAAACGTGGGTGTGGAGGAAATAAAGGATCAAGGATAATTCTTTGGTATTGATTTCTAGCTTGAGCAAATTGGATGTCAGTCATTGACCTGGGGAATCCAGGGGTTGAAGAGGAGTCCAGGTTCTGTTTAGAACATCTTACATTTTGAGATGCTTATTAGACAACCAAGTGGAGATTGGGCATGCGAGTCTGAAGCTCTAGGTAGAGATCAGGGCTTTTTGGCTAATAATGGAATTTGACGAGACTACCTAGGGAGGGAACAGAAAGCGCAGGGAAGGGGGCTATTTGCCAACTAGCCTGTAAGAGTTTCATTATTCCAATACCAGGTACAGATATGCCAGGATATGGATTATAAGCCCTGGAAAAGCTCTGCAAGAGTGGTGTCAGTGCAGCTCTGGGGTAGAAACTCCCGCTGGGTGGGCTGAGGAGGGAAGTTAAGGGGATGAGTAAGGAAATGGGAGGGTAACAACTAGTGACAGGTTTTACGGGATGTATTTCCACTAAGTGAATCAGAGAAATGGGGCTATAGCTTGAGGGCTGCTTACAAGTGAAGGAATATGTTTTTAAAGGTGAGAGACTAGTCTGGAAAAATGCTACTCAAAGTGTGCTCAACTGAGCAGCCAAGTCTCTGTTAAGAGGGCAGAATGAGCTGAGTAGGAAATCTCCAGGAGGAGTTTGGAAACCTACGGCACTTTTTAGAGTACCTGAAACCTTAAAGCAGATGATCGTTTTTCTAATACTCATTCTGATTGTACTTTTAAAAAGTATCAGTGACAAGTTGAAGTTTAAAAAACAAATTGGTCCTTTTATCCCCACAGAGTCACAGAGTTTGAGAAGCTCCAGAATGTGTTTGATAGCTGATGATAAGATCTAGTAGTCTAGAGAGAGAAATGAATGATTCTGGAGAGAGAGGGGACAGCGTCAGGAACAAAATTCTTGGGAAGGGAAGAATAGTGAGACCCCAGGCATCAAGAGAGAGTTTGGTCTTGGGTAGGAGCCGCGATATTCCATCCTTGTCATTAGAAGGAAGTCAGAAAATAAGGTTACAGATGCAGGGGTAGGAGTACCAGTGGTCCAGGAAAGATGACGGAGGCCCTTCCAGCCACTTTGTGCCATATTACCTGTACTGAATTGGACTGACAACCAGACAAACCCAAACTTTTCTCATATATGAAAAATTTCACATGCTGAGTGATGCTGTGTGTGTGGTGTCAGTAAAATCCTTCCTCTGGCTACTATAAGAATATCAGCGATGGAATTCAGAACCATCTTGGTTGTCTACATGACTGCCCTTAAGATAATGTAGAGTTGAGCAACCCTCAGTTTGTTTCCTGAGATTAAGAATTCCTCATGGTGAGTGCTGTGAATTGTGTAAGACTGTTGAATCACAGACCTGTATCTCTGAAACAAATAATACATTATATGTTAAAAAAAAAAAGAAGATAGCAGGAGGGGAAGAATGAAGGGGGGGAAATCAGAGGGGGAGACAAACCATGAGAGACTATGGACTCTGAGAAACAAACTGCGGGTTCTAGAGGGGAGATGGGTAGGGGGATGGGTTAGTCTGGTGATGGGTATTAAAGAGGGCACGTATTGAATGGAGCACTGGGTGTTATACGCAAGCAATGAATCATGGAACACTGCGTCAAAAACTAGTGATGTAATGTATGGTGATTAACATAATAATAATTTTAAAAAGGAAAATGATTTAAAAACACAATTTTATTCTATGTAAGTACCTACAATAAAAGTAATAATGCTTTAAAGCCAAAAAAAAAAAAAAAAAGATAATGTAGAGTTGATCCAACACCCAAAAGGGATGGGTTCCAAGTTTTGCACATCGGGTGAGTTTTCAGTAGAAAAGTGGCTTAGTTTTTTTGTTTTTTTGTTTTTCTGGCAAAAGCACCATGAGGTTTGTATCCGAAAGTATAAAATTATACTGGCACACCACAGGTTAGATTTAAGTGGAAGTGAATTGAAAAACAACTCAAACATGACCAGTCAGATAGGTATCATGACTTGCAATAATCGATCCTAGCAGTATGTTCCAGTTGGAATAAAATGTCATGTGTTATAGTCCATTTCCGTTAACTCATCAAAACATTAATTTAATACATGGCCTTTCCCGAAGAGAGTAATCTTTGTAGACAGTAACAGTTGTATGACATTCTACTTGAGCATGGTTTTAGCTTTGCGCTTACAACAGAGCTTGAAGAGTCTTTGCCCTCTTCCATGGAGGTGACGAAATTATGTCAGAGACTGTGTCTTTGTGAGAGCTCTAGGCAATTTTAGAACTTTCCACATTTCGCTCCTAAGCTTTGTTGAAACAGAGGTTCAGGACAAGTTGATCCCTGAGTTTAGAGTAGCCTTTATGTTATTTTTTATTCTTTTCTGTATTTGTGAAATATTTTACAATAAATATTTGTTACTTTTCTAGTTTAAAAAATATTTTAAAGTGACATAAGTCAAAGTCATATACTGTATTTCACTTACATGTGGAATCTATTAAAAAAAAATCAAAACCATAGAAGCAGAGACTAGAATGGTAGTTACCAGGGGCTGAGGGGGCGGGGGGATAGAGAGGTGTTGGTCACAGGGTACAAACTTCCAGCTGTAAGATGAATAGGTTCTGGGGATCTAATGTACAGCATGGTGATTATAGTTAATAATACTGTATTGTATACCTCAAAGTAGCTAAGAGAATAGCTTTCAAAAAAAAAAAAAGCAGTCTGAATCAGAGCTTCTGAGTCACATACCCAGCTTTTAAATGAATCTAGCCGAGGGAAGACTCTCAACTTTAGAAAGATGAATTATATAAGATTTATAATATCTCTTAATTTAGATTTTATGTTGCCTTTTTTTAGCAAGTTTTATGTTTTCTAAACCTGAAATGCATACATTCAGGCAATGTGCATCTATTCACATTGATGAGTTTCAGTGAATCCAGAGGTTTATTTTATTCCAGGCACATTTCATTAGGACAAGAAATCAAGGGTTGTAAAAAAAAAAAAAAAAAAGAAAGAAAGAGAGAAAATAGATGTCTGTTGTCTATTGGTTTAATAGAGATAGTCTATGCATGAAAATGTGTGAGATTTATAAAAGAAACTTAATAATAATTTTCCAGGAAGCAAACAGAGCTAAATAATGCAAGATAATATGTATTTTTTCACTTTTATTTCTTTGGATGAAAAATATATTACATCTTATGTTTTAGATAGAATTTTGAGATCAGGTGAAAGATACCTGAGAAATTGACTTTTGGGGGTCTTCTGCATACATGTCTGGGAGCTCCCTGTGTCCCTCCCCTCATCAGCTTCCTAATCAAAGTCACTAGCGTTAGGAAAGAACATTAACGTCATACTTAGTGAGAAATGATTTGTTTACATATAAATGATTTTAATTTAAAAAGTCTCTATGGTGTATAAATAACATGTATCACTGTTTTCTGGTCAGAGATTCATAGAACAGCATTACAAAAATGTTTTGGGGGCACCTGGGTGGCTCAATTGGTTAAGCGACTGCCTTCGGCTCAGGTCATGATCCTGGAGTCCTGGGATCGAGTCCCACATCAGGCTCCCTGCTCGTCAGGGAGTCTGCTTCTCCCTCTGACCCTCCCCCCTCTCATGCTCTCTCTATCTCATTCTCTCTCTCAAATAAATAAATAAAATCTAAAAAAAAAAATGTTTTGATATTTTGTCTTGAGGAGTTTTTTATTTGTAAACAAATACTTAACTCTTCCCAGTTTACAGGACAGAGCAGTTACCTATCTTATTGGTATTTTTTAATATGAAAACCTTTTTTTAGAACTGTAAGATCTTCCAAATGAAATATATTCTTTCTGGAAGCATTTAATCTTACCAAAGAAAGTTAGTCAACATAATTTATTGGCAGCTTTTTAGACTTTCCCAAGAGAGATTTTTTTTTTTTTTTAATACAAACTTGAAATGTTAAGACCACCTTTTTGAACCTTTCATCTGACTGCATCCCAAACTTTGGGCCGACTTGTATTGCCCTTTACATCATTCTCGTTTACACTGAATAATGGCAACAGGCATTTGATCTATGTCGGGGTTAGGGCTATTCTTGCTCTATGCCATGAGTCACTGGTGGATTCACTTAGTGGGGAAAACCAATCCTTGCTGCCGGGCAAGAGTTCCTTTGTTGTTTGGCGTTCTTTAAAATCTTGGTTTTTTCCAGCTGGAAATAGGGGAGCGGGTGGGTGAGGTAGAGGATAATTTGTTGTTAATGTTTTCACCTGATCCAAGAGATACAATCTCGGGGTGGGGGGGCGCTATCTAATGTTTTTCTCCAGAATAAAAAATTTAGCTTTTCTCTTAATATTTAAAATCTCATGATTGGTTACTCTAATATCTCCCTTAGTTAAACAAGAAAAGGAAAAAACTAAATTTTTTTCATGAAATTCTTAAGCAGAGATAATAAATGTTAATGTTAAAGGGATCCTGAACACTCATTCCATGTGAACAAAATATGGTGACATATTTTTCAAACGAATCATGAGTACATTTGATTTATTTAGGTGGGCAGATCAACAGAAAGCCCTATCGACTTCGTTGTTACAGACACAATTTCTGGCAGTCAGAACAATGATGAGGCCCAGATTACACAGAGCACCATATCCAGGTTTGCCTGCAGGATTGTCTGCGACAGGAACGAACCTTACACCGCACGGATATTCGCAGCCGGATTTGACTCTTCCAAAAACATATTTCTTGGAGTAAGTACTATTACTAAGTACATTGTTTCAAGGAAAACGCCCATTATCATCAGATATAACATTTAACTGTGGCCAAAAATCTGCCTTCCACGGTGCCTCCAGTTAGATTTGGAGATTTTAGTTTTCAGATGTGGAGTCTGAAAGGCTGTTATTAACAATCTAAAAATAATTAAGTCATTACTTGATACTTGTTACATTTGCTGTATTATGTATATGTACAGTAATTACTTTTTAAAAAATGTATATTGACATTGTACTTAATGTATTTATAGTAGATTTAAGGGGGTTTATTTCAGTGGGAAAAATAAATGGTCAAATCTACATAGAGTTCAAAGGAAAAAGTGACATTCATTTATTCATTCAAAAAATTTTCATTGGGTGTTTGCTGGGTTCTATGTCAGGTGTTATATAGGTTTGATATCACAGAACAAAACAGATTAAAAATTTCTGGCTTCATAAGGCTTCCATGTAAATGAAACCCAGAAGTTTTAGTGAATATCCAATTTTAATATAGTTTTGTTTTTTTTTAAATCAGGATGTTTTTGCAGGGGGAAAAAAAAAAAACATTCAAAATGGCCTTTAAAAATGGCCTAAACAGGGGCGCCTGGGTGGCTCAGTCAGTTAAGCGTCTGCCTTCAGCTCAGGTCATGATCTCAGGGTCCTGGATGACACCCCCCAGCCCCCGCCGCCCCCGCCTTGGGCTCCCTGCTCAGTGGGGAGTCTGCTTCTCCCTCTGCCCTCCCACCCCCCACTCCTGGGCACACATGCTCTTTCTCTCTCTCTTGCTCACTCTCGCTCTCAAATAAGTAAATAAAATATTTTTTTTAAATGGCCTGAACAATAATAAAAATGTATTATTTCATGTAACAAGGAGCGCCAAGGAAGACAGCTCCAGGGTTGGGTAATTCAGTGATTCCGTGTCATCCAGGGAAGCAGGTTCGTTCTGTCTTGCCCCTACCTCCCCGGGCAAATCCACTTCCTCAGGCTGCCTTAGGGATGAGAGTCGGCTCCTGCATTTCATTAATCCCCAGCCACATGACCACTTCCGGCTGAAGAAGAGGCGGCAGAGACACTCTTTCTTCCTTATCTCTTTTTATTGTTTTTTTATTTACTTTTTGCAAATGAATAAATTTGACATGTAACATTGTGTAAGGGTAAGGTGTACAGCCATGTTACCGTGATGTACTTACATGTTGTAAAATGATGGCCAATATAGGATTATTTAGCACATCGTGCAACTATAGCACAATAATATGGTCTATGTTCATAACACGGTGCATTAGATCTCTGTGGCTGATTACAAGCTTGTACCTTTAAACACCATCAGTCTTACCACTCTCCCTGTGTTTCCCCCACCCACACCCATCCCATCCCCAGTAACTGTCATTTTACTCTGTTTTTGTAGGCTTAACTTTTTAAGATTCCACATACAAGTGATATCATACAGTACGTACTTTCTCTGACTTGCTTAGCATAATGTGCTCAAGGTCCATCTATGTTGTTGCAAATGGAAGGCTACCCTCCTTTCTCGTGGGTAAATAATACGTACAGTGTCTTTTTTTATCCATTCATTCATTGATGGGCATTGGATGGCTTCCATATCTTGGCTGTTGGGAATAATGCAGTAAACATGGGAGTGCATATATCTCCTTGAAATCCTGTTTTCATTTCCTTTGAGTATGTGCCCTAAAGTGGAAATGCTGGATCATATGGTAGTTGTTTTTAAATTTTGGACTATTTAGGGTCTTTTGTGGTTGCACATAAAGCTTAGGATTATTTCTTCTATTTCTGTGAAGAACTCTTTTAATATTTTGATGGGGATTGTGTTGAATCTATAGATGGATTTGGGTAGTATGGCCATTTTAACAATAATCTTCGGATTCATAAACATGGGGTGTCTTTCCATTTGTGTCTTCAATTTCAGCAAAGTGTGTAATTTTCATTGTATAGATCTTTCACTTCCTTGGTGAAATTTATTCCCAAGTACTTTACTGTTTTTGATGCTGTTGTAAATGGGTAGTTTTCTTTAGGCCTTTTTCAAATGCTTCATCTTCATCATTAGTGTAAAGGAATGCAACTTTCTTCTCTATGTTGGTTTTGTGTCCTGCCACTTTACTGAAATTGTTAATTCCAACAGCTTTTTGACTGCTTCTTTGGGATTCTCAATATACAAGATTGTATCATTAGCAAATAGGGCTAAGCAATAGTTTTACTTCTTTCTTTCCAATTTATATGCCATTTATTTCTTTATCTTGCCTAATTGCTCTAGCTAGGACATGTAGCACTATATTGAATAGGAATGGTGAGAGTGGGCATCCTTGTCTTGTTTCTGATCTTAGAGGAAACACTTACAGTCTTTCTTCATTGAGTATGATGTTAGCTGTAGGTTTGGCATATATGCCCTTTATTATGTTGAGATATATTCCTTCTGTAGCCAATCTGGTAAGGGTTTTTATTCTGAAAGGATGTTGTGTTTTGTCAAAAGCTTTTTCTGTGGCTATTGAGATGATCACGTGATTATCCTTCATTTTATTGATAGGATGTATTACATTTATTGATTTGCATACGTTGAACCATACTTGCATCCCCAGGGAAGTCCCACTTGCTCATGGTGTATAATCCTTTTAATGTGTTCTTTTTTTTTTTTTTTAAGATTTTATTTATTTGCGAGAGAGAGAATGAGAG